TATTAGCCTGCTCCCAATCATGGGAAAGGTTTTGGACAGGCTAGTAATTACCAGGATCTTATCCTACCTAAGGAGAAAGAATGCCCTTAGCCATCATCAACATGGCTTTACTCCTGGGAAGTCCACCACTACGGCTCTCACCAAGATAACAGAGTACATCACCCAGACCAAAGCTGAAAGGAAGCACACACTTTTAGTCTCGATCGACTTCCATGGAGCCTTCGACAATTTCTGGTGGCCCACAATCCTGCAACAGCTCCAGGTTTACCACTGTCCTCGAAACTTATTCCATCTAATCAAAAGCTTTATCAACGAAAGGAAGGCTGGCCTTTTTGTGAACAACATTAGTCACTGCCATCATGTCACCAAGGGCTGTCCACAGGGGTCAATCTCTGGACCGGGCCTATGGACTATCGTCCACAGCGATCTGCTATCTAATATTAATAATGATAATGACAACAACCATCTTATTCAAGGCTATGCTGATGATAGTTATTCTTGTCTCTGACAAGAACTCTGGCAAATTACCCATCCTTAGTAATAATCTTCTAACAAAGATCTTCAGCTGGAGCGACAAAAACAAGCTCCTATATAATATTATATATATAAGTGCTGCCATATAATATTTTCCAAAAGCACCGCGCTACAGAGAAGCCCACACATTGATATCAATGGTGTTAAAATCTCCCATGTCAAGGAATTTATATACCTACGATTTAAACTCGAACAACAACTACAATGGTCCAGCCACATTGACATGGTGATCTCGAAAACAACTAAGGCATCAAACGCCCTTATCTCCATCTCTAAGAACACCTGGGGCATTGGGTACAAAGCAACCAAATACATTTATCTAGGGGCAATAGAACCTATTTTGCTCTATGCGGCTTTGATCTGGGTGGAGGCCGCACAAAAGGTTCACATACAACGGAAGCTTTTTAAGGCCCAGCGTTTCGCAGCTCTTAGGATCTTCAGGGCTTACCGGATGATCCCAACCTCTGCGCTTCTGGTCATCGCAGGTCTGCTTCCTGTCCACATAAACGCCAAAATGGCAGCTAGGATCTGAAACATTAACAACTTATGCACCAGTTTCTGCAACCTCTGCGACACCAATAGGAATAATACAATACTTTCTGATCTCTCTGAGCAAGTTAAAAAAGATATCACATCCTACGGTATCGAGGTGAAGCATGCTAACTCTAATATGACGGTAGACTATCCAACCATCAGCAGTTACATCCTTCCTCAAGATGAAACCTGTTACATCTCCATCTACATCGATGGGTCCAAGGACAACAGAAATGTGGGGGCAGCTTTCGTTCTTATTAACCATAAAAACGGTGACACTCATAAGTCTGCTTTCAAATTAGGTCCTCATTGTTTTGTCCCCCAAGCAGAAATCCTTGCTATTACTAAGGAAATCAACTACATTTTCACTGATTGGTTTCCCCATAACAAAACCATCATCGTTTATACCGATAGCATCACTGCCATCCACTCCATTACTGGCGTCCGACGCAGAGGCGATAACGTTCTTCGAATCCATCGTCATCTTGCCTCTAATACGCACAATCACAATGTGCATTTTAAATGGATACGTGGCCACTCGGGTGTTGCAGGCAACGAAGCCGCCGACAGCCTCACAAAATCTGCTGCAGCCTCCTCCCTCCCATCTAGTTACAACAAGATCCCACGTAAAATTAAGCACTGGAACTACCAGCTTGCAATCCACCAATGGCAACAGGAATGGGATAGCAGCATCACCAGCAGGAAACTTTCAACTTCATCCCTAAAATCACCCGGCACCTTCAGTGGAGACACTTCTCTCCTTCTTTCGCCATGACCCAGTTGCTTACTGGTCATGACAACTTCAAGTCATACTTAAACAGTTTTCATATTTAAGAAGACAACATCTGTCAGTGTGATGGCACTTCCATCCAGGACAGAAGTCACTTCCCCTTTGACTGTACACTGTTCAACCAAAACTGTGACATTCTTATTGGCAGTGTACTCTATGCTGGCTTCAACTGGCCTTGTCCTTTTAATATTCTCTTTGAAAACAAGAACATTTATTATAAACTGGCAGACTATTTCTCAACGACAACAGCACTGAATCCAGAGAACAGTCTACATATCGCAAACGACAGTGTTCGAAATCCTGATTGAGTGAACTTTTCTTCAACAGTGTTTCTTCATTGTACCCAGGAACTCTTACCTAGTGACTCTCTCTACCATTGTGGCTTTTCTGTATCATAGTGTTATGTTACTCTTCGCCATGCTGCATGCTACTGTTTTTCTGTTTTACTGCTTTGCTTGTTCTCCCAACAGCTTGTCATGCGGTTGTCTTCATTATTTGTCTGTTATACTCTAGTAGTAATTTTCTTATTGTAAATATGTTTGTACCATTCACCATTGTGTTGTAATCCATTATTTTATGTCATCGCGCCAAATAGTTGTAAACTTCAAATTTTTGTTAACTACCAATTTCTGTTATCATTCTGTATTTTGTCTCGCTATTATACAAGGTCTGTTCAAAAAGTATCAGACCTTTGGTCGGTAAAATAAATTTATTGACTTTGAGGTACAAAACCCTAGTCCCCTTCAAAGTAGTCTCCTTGGTAATGTATACACTTCTCCCAGCGTTCCTGCCATTGCTGGAAACACTGCTGGAACGCAGTGTTTCCAGCAATGGCAAAAAATCCAAAAGATTCCAGCAATGGCATCTTTTGGAATGGCCATTAGCCGCTCCGTCGGATTTTGCACGATGTCTTTTCTCGATTAAATTCGGGTTTTTTTAGCGGCATTTTCAGCTTGGGAAATAGCCAAAGGTCACACGGAGCCATGTGGGGAGAGTACGGAGTGTGACGAACCACAAGAGTGTTATGTTTGGCGACGAAATCCCGAATCAGATGCGCAGAATGGGCGGATGCGTTATCATGATGGAGCTGCCAAGTTTTGATCGACCACAGATCCGGTCGTTTGCGTCGCACGGCATCAGAAAGACGACAAAGGACCTCCTGGTAGTACTCCTTCGCGATAGTTTGGCCTTGTGGTGCGTACTCACGACACACCACCCCACGAGAGTCGAAAAAACTGTCAACATGACCTTTGATATTGCTGCGGACCTGCCGCGCTTTTTTTGGCCTCGAGGATCGTCCCCGAAAGCCTGCTGAATCTTGCGAATGGTTTAC